CCCCAAAACCCCAAAACCCCAAAACCCCAAAACCCCAAAACCCCTTCAATATCTTTGTGTGTTGAAGCATTAGAAGTATTATTTTTGCATTTTGGGTTATTCCCAAAGGCAGATTGTGAGATCATCACTCGAAGTTGCAATAAAAGGCTGAGAGTAGCTATTACTCCAATCAATGCCATTGATGTCCTTAATATGACCTTGCTTGAACGAATAATAGTTGTAAATATACTGAGATTTCTTGTCTAAAAATTATTAGATCAATCTTACCAAGTCATTCGTAGGTATTAAATTTATCTAAGTCTGGCTTCTTTGTATTCCAGATCAAGAGCCCATGCCCTGAGTCAGAACCAGCTAGAGATTTCTACCAAACACTTACTTATACAATAATCCATTCATGGACTTAGTGTTGCTTTCGTGTAGAAATTTGAATGATGAGATTTAAAAATTTTAGGAGGAGCCTCACTCATTTTATCCATCTGGTAAAGGTACACAGTACTTTTTATTCCATTTGTCAGAATCAATGGACTTTTATGTGTCCTGGAAGCTCTCCCTAAATCTCTATGTACGGTCAAAGATGTGAACCCATTCTCCTTTTTCCTTTGGTTTATACACTGAAGCAAGTCATATTCTTTAATATTGGAATATGTATCGTTTACCTCCTAATTGTGAACTAATATTCTTACCTGCCCGTTAGCTCTTGCAAATTCAGCCTCATTTAAGCCCCTGTAAATATTCATGAGATGGGTGTAATAAGAGAGGCTTCCTCTAAAGGATTTTTCTTCCCTCTCTCCATATTTGGGGGACTTCTTATTATCCTTATCAACAACTGTGCTGTTTGATACTTTTGGCAAGCTTCATAGAACTCTGAGGTCCCAAAATTTTACTAAAGTTAGCAATCTGGCTTACTCTCGTCTGAACTACTCTCTGTGCTGAGTAGGGTGTTTGAATCATAAAACTTTCAACTTGTTATGGCTCTTTTATCATTCTCTTTAGAGTGAAAATATTCACTTACCATGTTTTGAGTATTTTGCCTTGGCACGGTTCCCAAATTCTTCTCTGAGTTTCAGAGCATAATGGCTAAGAGCATGAACCGGATAGATCAACTCTTCTCCCCCTTCCACTCTATTGGTCAGATAGAAAATTACCTTCTTGAACTTTGGTCTCTGACATCATAGAGCAGAATCTCTCCGTCTCTTCCACATGTTACGAATACATCTGAAGTTCAATGATGGGAATCGATTGTTCTAGGAGACCCGTTATGTCCTGCTAAAATATTTCATACTCTCTGATGAGCTACATCATAAATCCTCTATAATTAGGTTTGTTCAACTATTTGAAATGGAAAGATGCAGTATCAATAGAATAAGGGTTACTTACTGAACTGAAGTCTCCTCAGACAGTTCCAAGAATCCTGTCGTTATCAAACCATTCTATGTCAAAGATTGCATTTTCATGAATATTTTCACTACTCGTCTAAAAGTTAATATAATGAAAAATACTGGGAGAATAGTAATTGGCCTGTGCTTTCCCTCTGGATCCTCTATATTTTTGTGAAAATTGATACCTTCTGTATATGCTCTTTGGACTTCTTGGTAATAAGTCTTGAAGTAATCTTCCTGTGAATAAGGGTGATCTTGATCCTATCGTAATTATTGTTAACAAACTTACCTTGATTTCTTTGCAATTCGTTGAGTCGATAAAATGTATTCCTCCTATTTCATCCCCAACTGCAAGAATTTTGGGGTTATTTTTAGCGAATTTCACACAATATGAGTTTCAACCCAGGAAAACCCGCTTGCTACAATTTAAAAAGGAATTCCTACGCTGGCCTTAAGTTTTGAATGCGGCTATCGACTAAGCGATCATATTCCTCTTCCTTCCATTGCTCTATTTGTTCTCGCTCTAGAGGAACCTGGGATATCTTTTCTTCTTCAAGATTATATCTAGGCATGCAAGGTATCTTTTTCTTATAATTTCGTACAAGTCTTGATCGAAATCTCTTATCCATATTTTAGTTGGTAAAATTTGCAATTTTTAATAATTTTGGCGGGGTTTTGGGGTTTTGGGGTTTTGGGGTTTTGGGGTTTTGGGGTTTTGGGG